GCTGAATTCTATTATATATATATATATATATATATATATATATATATATATATATATATATATATGAATGCAATTTTGTTTTCCTTTCATCAGGCGAACAGACCCCCACCACTAAATTCTCTCCTCCTTTGGGCAAAACATGATTCTTCCCTTCGGCATTTAAAAGAATACAATTTGGCTAATTAAAGCCTCAATAGAATTCAGTATTTTTGTCCCCCCCTCCTTTTTCATGTGGAGGCATCAAGTCTGATCTGTGGTTGTTATCCTCCCGACCGGTTATTCGTGTTTAAACGCTAACCGAATCAAATGAAAGAGGGGAGGACGAAAACACACACACGCAAACGGAGACGCAGAGAGAGAGGGGGAGGGAGGGAGAGTGAGAGGGAAGCAATCGCTACTTAGACACGGACAGCAACACACAGAGAACGATACACTTTTAGAAACACACGGAGGCATACAAAAAAAAAAATGAAGACAGACAAACGCAAAATCTCAGGATGCAATTGTCGGATACACATCGAAATAGTTTACAGGAAAGAAGTATGACAAATTAAAAAAAGTTTTCGTGTGACGCGTTTCATCCTTTTTGGGCTTCATCAGGCTAAGCTAATGTTTACATTGATACGATTACATATGCACATGAAGGAAAGTGGTGTAAGCTGAAAATTTTAAATTTGAGTTGTATTTTTTAAAAATTTAAGATATATTTTGGGGCATATAATCTATGCATTTTCATTTAGATTCTTTTTTTCTTTTTTTGTTATTAAATATCCGCCATTGGGATAATAAAACAAAAGCCAAGAATGGTGAAATTTTGTAAGAACCTGGACGTAAATCTATTTTTCATAAACCAGTGATTAAATCTCTTTCGAAACATTTTCGTCTCAATAAATTGATTTCTCTTTTAATTAGAATAGCATTTTTTTTAAAATCATAATTGTGATCAGTCAACTTATGCTGAACCACTAATTCATTTAATGTGTTGGAACGATAGATAAATAGATAGATAGATAGATAGATAGATAGATAGATAGATAGAAAATGAATAGATAGATAGAAAATGAATAGATAGATAGATAGATAGATAGATAGATAGATAGATAGATAGGAAGAAAATGAAGAGATTGAGATAGATATCTGATCTAAACAGGGGAGATAGATAGATAGATAGATAGATAGATAGATAGATAAGAAGAAAATGGATAGATAGATAGATAGATACGAATTTTATTATAAACAATTGTCTTGTAAATGGAATTTTTAAAGCATTCTGAATGTAAAAATAAAGAAAAAAGTGTGCAAGACAATAAGAAACACTACCTGCCAAAAAAAAAGTGAAGTTTTGTTGAAATCGGTTAAAAAATGTAGGAAATCCGATCCCATATATAAACGAACACACACACACACACACACAAACACCCTGGGTTTTATAATAAGTATAACTCGATATGAGTTGTCCCCCTTTCATTCTGGCGACAGAATCGTGTTTTATCGTGTTTTCAAATTGATTTCGTGCAAAAACAATTGTGTTTTTCCAATTTCATAACCACCGCAAGGTAATTTTACGTAGTCCTGTGAAGTTTTGTTGAAATCGGTTGAAAAATGTAGGAAATCCGATCCAATATATAAACGTACAGACACACACACACACACGCACACAAACTGCGTTTTATAATAAGTAAGATTACTGAAAAATTTGGCGAAGAAGTATTAATTTTTCCTTAAACCAGTTATTCAAAAATACATATTAAGATATTTACCACGTGAACTACGATGAAAATAAAATAAGAAAGATATGGTATATAATTTTGTTTTTGCGCAGGGGTTCCTTGAGACATGTAATTTATTTTAAGGGTTACGCAAGGGTAAAAACGTTGAGAAACGCTGGCCTCGGATGTAGACAATTATGACCCTCCGTTGTGACAATGCGTAATAAATCTATTTTTAATACAAATATTCACCCCATACAAGGCCCAAGAACCACACAAGTTAGAGGGTCACTGTATGTAAGAGAAAACAATAGTTTAATAGGTTATGTGTAACATTAAGAGTGTAGTGACCAGGATTGATTTGTTTTTTACGGTTTATCAACCTTTGCTAGGTTATTTAAAACCAGAAAATATTTCTAGATTTTAAGAATTATTTGGAATTAATAATGATTTACTGATACAATACCTACTAATTAACCCATAGCTAAGGGGAAAGAAGATGTGGATTTTTACATTTCTCAAAGGGTATTTGTTCGTAAAGAAATATAACGAACCCGATTGGAATTAGAACTCGGCTTTCCAATTTCCAATTCTGAGCCGTTATCCATTATATCGACGCCTCATCCAAGCTTACAGCACACGGTATCGCGAATCGGTCACCCATGTAGGCATTGACCAGGCTCGATGTTGCTTAATTTCAGCGGTCGTACGATATTTGAAAGTGATATGGCCTTCAACCTGTATTGATCGAGAAAACATGGTCCTGATATTCTGTTCTACAAAGCAGCAGTTATTGGGAAATAAACACCCACCGAGTGGATCTTCCTCCTTACTAATGGAATACGAAGGAAATGTGTATGATTCATCCGCGTGTACGTATCATGGTGGGTCACAGCTGCAAAGGTCAGGGCTGGAGGAGCCAAAAAATGCTGCACGTCAGTATACATGTCACGGAAATCGCGAAACTGACGTTTCCTTTGCGAGAAAGGGGTTGTAGGGTGGAAAATAATTCATCACCCACAAGGCCGCGTAGAAACTTTTGAACGTGTTTCGCTTTTGATTTAGCGTCATCAGAAATTCTGGGGGCCAATAATTCGAAGTTCTATTTTTACTGTTTAGTAAGTCTATATTGTATTTGTTTTTAGTTGCTGTGTAGCGGTTATGTGTCTAATGTGGTCTGTTTTAGATTTAACTTCTACCAGTCGAAAATCTGTCTTTAAAACATTTTTATCAAAAAAATTATTTATAAGTTAAGGGGTACAAATGAACAGATTTGAAATTGGCATTTTTTTTTCCATTTCACTGAAACAGAATTTGAACACTTCTATCTTCCTTTCTGTCTGTCTTTCTTTTATCACTGAAACCAAGTAGCGTCTTTGTTATATCAGATTATCTATAAGGTACTGGCTGGACGTAAGGGTCGTGCGAACTAACTAAAGAACTAATTAACTAACAAAGGAAGGGGTAAGCAGAATTATAACAGAGATGTTTGTTTTGTTCCGATTGGTCGAGGGAAATCTCACCTGCATATTTTTTATTGATTGACTGATTGATTAATTTTTACGGCTTATCAGCCTTTCGCAGGTTATTTAAAGCCAGATTGCTAGATAGAGTTTTAGATAATTCATATAGGAAGAAAATGTGTAACTACTGACACCTAGGTTCAAGCGTGACACTGTGGACTTATGAATTCCAACAGGTGTATAAATAGCGGTGTCAGGCTACTGACTGCAGTGATTATTGAGTACCATTGAGTGGAACTATCCAGTCGAATTAGTGTGAATTTTTTTATACACCTTTACATTGTCATATAAGAAGAAGATGAATAACTACAATCACCGAGGTCCGAGCGTAACACTCTGGATTTATGAATATATATTTTCCGCTAGGTGTATAAATAGAGGCGTCAGGCTACTGACTGCAATGATTATTGAGTGACTATTGAATTGAAATATCCAGTCGAATTAGTGTGAATCATTCATAGACCTTTATTATATATTTTCATATAGGAAGAAAATGAATAAATACATTCACCGAGGTTCGAGCGTGACATTTATGAATATATGGTTTCTGCGGTTTGAGTGGAACTATCCAGTCGAATTAGTGTGAATTATTGTGCGTCGATTATTTGGGTTTGGATTTAGGATTTACCGGACGTTAAGACGAGCCGCGCTACTAACAAGGTATTCATTGAAATGGTTAATTATCTTTGGTTGACTTTTACATCTTTGTTCTTGTTAAGTATTTATTTGCGGTTGTAATTAAATACTCTTTTATGTTTAAATTTTATTTTATTGTATCTTTTTTTTTTTTCTCTTTCTTCCCCTACTCGTCAGTGTGTTTGCCCATAGTAACACATTTTGTCCTAATCAGACAATGGGACTTATATTAAGTTAAAACTTAACTTAATGTTGCGAAATGTAAATAAGCCAGGACTCTTTGCAAATTACCTCCCCTTCTCATCGTTCCCTCTATTTTTGTTGTTGTTGTATGTGTTATATGTAATAGGAGTAGGTAGGCTTTCCTACCGCTCAGTCAACACTCCTCCCCCTTCTCTTGTAAGTAGAGGCTTACGACTTGTTTCTTGTTTAGGAAGCGGTTTCCGGTACTCTCTCTCTCTCTCTGGCCTCTGTATCTCCAGTTGCCTTCATCTATTCACTATCCTTCTCCTCATCCTCCCTTTTATCACTCCTATCTGATCTTGCTCCAAATCTTCTGTAACCCCTTGTGTCCTAGTGGCTTTCCGCCTTGCTTGGGGTGAAACGCTTAAAAAAAAAAAAAAAATCTGAACATTGAAGTCTTTAGTTATACTTGATCATTAGCGGCCACCATACGTCACAAAAGATAGCAATGATTTTTACAGATACGACTCTTACAAATTAGCTGGCTAGGGAAAGAAGAGCTGGATTCATAGCTTTCCCAATTCTGAGCCGTTATTCATTACACCACCCGCACATTCATGCTTACAGCCCGTAATATTCCAATGGAATAGATAATAGATAAGGGTACTATTGACTGTTCTCATCTTTATTGCCATATTCACAATGTTTCCTTCTCCGTTCTTCTTCAGGTGATTGGAATTTCGAAATTTATTTCGTTCAGCGGGGTAGGTTGTTCTAGTTCCACTTGTCATGCCTCTTCCGGATGTCTCAGTTATTTCCCTTTAACTCAATTCTCCAAATTTTTGTTCACCACTGCAGTAGCCAGGTATTGAACTCAAAACTCTTTGAGTCAACTCACTAGGTCCAAGCAACGCTTTTCCCATGAGTCATTGCGAAAACCAGTGTATGAATTTTAGGGTTTTATAAATTAATGCCTCAGTAATCAATTTTACCAAAGCTCATATTGCAAATTGTGTTGTTATTAATGTTTTTCACTCCGTATTAGTGTTTCCCACATTTTATTCATTTCTATGCTTAGCCGGATTAAGATATTTTCTGTGGCCTCGCATATATGCTGTTTCCTTTAGTTTTCGTATTTTCCAATGATGTTCTCTGTTTATTATTTCACCCTCATTCCACGGGGTGGGGGAGGTGATCCCCATTTTCTCTCCTACGCCAGATTTTCTATTTCCCCTCGGTTTTACGAGCGTACAACGGCCAAAACGTCGTGAATAAAGGTGAGGACATCAATAGTTCGAACAATGTAAATAATTAAAATATCTCATCTCAGAAATACAGACAAAGATAAGCGCAGGTTCAAATAGAATTTGTTACAATTACTTCTAAAGTTGATCTTTCACCTATCACGATAGGTGGGTGTTCTCTCAAGGAGGCTCCTTGCTTTGAAAGTCTTTTTGGAAAAATGGTCGATTCCTTGTACCGTTGCAGTAAGTATCTGACTCCCTGCTGCTATACTTCATCTTTACAAGGACCAGACTGTTACGGTTTTTTTTGGGTATATGGCACCTATAACTAGTGAGCGAGTCAGAATGACTTATTTCCCTTTATAGTCGACCAATGGGAGGTTGAATAATCCGAAGCCGCACAACACTGTATTCATCGTGTATAAAGGCGGCCATCTTGTTTCGTCTACCGGAAGGACCAAAGGCGACCAGGAGAAGGATGAACTACACTCTGCTGTGATATCCACTGCGAACCTAAAGTACGCTTTCCTACTGTCTCCGAAATATTCACTGCCAACCTCTAGATTCAATACTCAAGGACGACCGTCATGGAAATGTCTAACACAGACCAGGTCCAAAATGGAGTGTTACAAGCGAAACATGACAAAAGGTTCAACCAGCAAGGCTCAATACAAACTGTCTCAGGCGAATCAATAAAATATGTCGAATCTTTTACGTACCTAGGAAGCGAAAAACTTTTACGTACCTAGGAAGCGAAATAAATTCTATTGAAAAGTAAGTGAAAATTCGCCTAGCTAAAGCCTAGATCTTCGTGAATAAAATGGATGTAAACTGTAAATCTGATCTACCAGGCAACCTCAAGTGGAGATTCTTCCGAGCCACTGTAGAGGCAGTGTTAATGTATGCTGCCACTGCTTAGGCATTAACTAAAACCTTAGAGTCTAAATTTGATGGAACCTAAACTCGGATGCTGAGAGCTATACTTAACATCTTGTTGAAACTTGACTAATGCATGGAATAATAATGCAACACAAAATGTACTTAGAACAAAATGTATTGAAACAAGAAAGTGTACACGATATTTACATATAGTCTTTTGTATATTCTTGGTAAGACCGTTCCTGGAGAATGTGTTGACTGAGTCGCAGTCGGGCAGAGTCTCTGGTTGAATCTCTTGATTCCTCCCTCTCTTCCCGGTACCAACCATATTTATATGGTCGGTACTCCACTATGCAAATTAGGTGGATCCTACCACAACACATCTGTTGGCGACAACATCCAACTTAATCGCAGTTCTATGAACCCATTTGCCTTTATAAGCTTATGCCAACGCAGAATACGTTTTATTAGACACTGATGGCGAGCAAAACACATAATGCCTCATTAAGGATATTCCGACCTTACTGTGATAGTTGGTGTGATAGACTCCTGAATGTCCGACCTATCTCGCTTGAATAAAAAAAAGATAAAGAAAGAAAGAAAAAGGAAAAAAGAAGTTCGGTATCTATGGCTCACGGCAAAAGAATCCAAATTTCAAATCTAAATTGTTTGTCCAGCTAAAATAGGATATTTATTAGAAAATATAAATTTAAATAAAGGATTTATTTCAAAGGGCCACACATATACTAATTCCATGTTACTCCGGCTTTGTTACCGTACAGAAAAGGGGAATAAGGCATCGCGATATTGGTGCCTATTTCAATTCCATTCAGTTTGTGCGTGTGTGTATGTCCAATTACGTGTGCGAATTTATATTAACGAATAATGTCCGAAAAGATCAATAACATCTTGTAGTTATTTCACGCTCAGTCAAATATGTGTGAGCGCGTGTGTCGACGTGTGTGTACATTAAACGACACAAGCACACCACACGGGAGATGCACATATGCATTACATAGGCAAGCAGAAAGTGGGTGACGGAGAGAGAATCAACACTTCTTTTATAGATTTCACGATAGGTACATGAACAAGTTGTGATAGATAGATAGATAGATAGATAGATAGATAGATAGATAGATAGATCAGAATATGTTTAAATAGATAGATAGATAGATAGATCAGAATATGTCTAAATAGATAGATAGATAGATAGATAGATAGATAGATAGATAGATAGATAGATCATAGAATATGTCTAAATAGATAGATAGATGGATAGATAGATCCGAATATTTCTGAGTAGATTTATATATATATATATATGTGTGTGTGTGTGTGTACATATAAACAGATATGAATAGACTGAGATAGACCGATAGATCCCAATATTTCTGAATATATATATATATATATATATATATAAAGAGATATGATTAGACTGAAATTGATAGATCAGAATATGTCTGGATAGATAGATAGATAGATAGATAGATAGATAGATAGATAGATAGATCCGAATATTTCTGAGTATATATATATATATATATAAAAGATATGAATTGACTGAGATATATAGACCGATAGATCACATTATTTCTGAATATATACATATATATATAAATATATATATATATATATATATATATATATATATATATATATATATATATATATAAAAGAGATATGATTAGACTGAGATAGATAGATAGATAGATAGATAGATAGATAGATAGATAGATAGATAGATTAGCCTGGACTACAAAAGCTAATATATAAAAAAGGTCCCTTGGTTCCTGAACGAATTCTTGCTTTTCCAACCAAGTTATCCTCACCCACCAAAACGTATTCCCTGTACAAATTTCAACGGGAGTGAGGCGAGTATTCCAATGTGAGGAATCGTTAAATACTGAACAGTACACGTGAGTAATGTGATGGTTTTCTCAGATGGAGAAGGCCAAACATACCTTTTGCCTTTAGATATTTTCCTTCTCTACCCCCCACTTTTTCCATTTTTCCCTCTATTTCCTAAACTACCCAATCGAAATCCGGACTCTCTGTCCCACCCAAGACTCTTTCAAATCTTTTTTTCTTTTTTTTTTTTAAACTCTTCTCCTTTCCTCTACCATCTCAATATACCATTTACCTTCAACTTGCATCTTATAACTTCTTCCAGACGTCTGATTCCCATCCCTTGAATTTCGTCCGCCCTGGTGACTGAAGTTAGCCAGAGGCATTGCAGGATATCCACCCGACGGCGTTTCGAGGCCCGTGGGGGTTGTCGTCAGCCCTTGCTAGGCCACCTTGAGGCGCTGTTACAGACGGGGGTCGGGAAACCTGTGTGCCCTGAGGTACCAATGGCTCCAGCCCCGACCATCTCCGATGACGACGCTGCCGTAACGACGTCATCACTTTGTAAGATGAAGTAGGCATGTCGGGTGGGGAGAGGGTGACGCTGAGAGTTACTATGGGCGGCGGCGGCGAGGGTGTGGTGGGTGGGGGGTACCTGGAGGTAGAAGCTTTGCCCGTAACTCTTTTTCGCGATGGACCATAGCATTCGTTCCACCACAGTCGACACGTCATCCAAACAAACCCAACGTCACCGGATGCTTCTCTCTCTCTCTTTCTCTCTCTTTCCGCCCCTATCTATCTATCTATCTATCTATCTATCTATCTATCTATCTCTGCTTATTCATTATCTATCTATCTATCTATCTATCTATCTCTGCTTATTCATTATCTATCTATCTATCTATCTATCTATCTATCTATCTATCTATCTATCTATCTATCACAGTCTGTGCATATCTATCTATCTATCTATCTATCTATCCCGATTCTTTTTCTTTCTTTACTTCTTTCTGTTCTACTGTTTATTTGCTTCTTTCTTTCTTTTTTCTTTCTTATCATTCTGAACACTAAGCTTTTCCCTTTCCTTCTTTTTTTCACAATCTCTATCTTTTTCTTCTTCTTTTATTTCTCCCGCTACTCTTTCCTTGACGTTTTCTTTTATCCTCATGTCTTGTATTTCCTTCTTTCTTTCCTTTTTCTTTTTCTTTCCTTTTTATTTAACAATTTTTTATCTTTTTCTTCTTATGTGATTATTATTTTCTTTTTTATTCATTTTATTTTCATTCGTCTTTTCTCTTTAATTTTTTTCATTTCTCTTTCATTTTCTTTCAAACTCTTTATTCTTTTTTTCTTATTTCTTTCTTTCTTTCCAACTCCAATCTTTTTCTTTCTTTTTCATTCATAGTCTCATTCTGTTTTCTTCGTTCTTTCTTTTCTGCCACTTCTTTCTTTGATTATTCCATTAATCTTTTTTCTTTTCTTAGGCCACGCATTTCATCTTTCCTTTTTTTTTCTTTTATAATCTTTATCTGACCGTTCTTTCTTTTCTTTCATTTCTTTCTTTCCCTATCTTTTTCTTCATACCTTTTTTTTCTGATACACTCTTCTTCTGTTTTTTCTTTCTTTTCTCACTTTTTTTCACCTCCCTTTTCTTTCACCACTCTTTTCTTTCTTTCTTTCTTTTTCTTGCATGTCGGTTTGCTTTGTTTTTTCTTTCTTTTCTTTCTTTTCTTTCACCGCTCTTTTCTTTCTTTGTTTCATTTTCTTACATGTCGGTTTGCTTTGTTTTTTCTTTCTATTCTCTCACCGCTCTTTTCTTTCTTTCTTTCTTTCGTTCTTTCTTTCTTTCTTTTTCTTACATGTCGGTTTGCTTTGTTTTTTTCTTTCTTTTTTTCTTTTCTTTCACCGCTATTTTTCTTTCTTTCTTTCTTTCTTTCTTTCTTTTTTCTTTCTTTTCTTTCTTTTTTTTTCTTTCATGTCAGTTTGCTTTGTTTTTTTCTTTCTTTTTTTCTTTTCTTTCACCGCTCTTTTCTTTCTTTCTTTCTTTCTTTCTTTCTTTCTTTCTTTCTTTCTTTCTTTTTTCTTACATGTCGGTTTGCTTTGTTTTTTCTTTCTTTTTTTCTTTTCTTTCACCGCTCTTTTCTTTCTTTCTTTCTTTCGTTCTTTCTTTCTTTCTTTCTTTCTTTTTCTTACATGTCGGTTTGCTTTGTTTTTTTCTTTCTTTTTTTCTTTTCTTTCACCGCTCTTTTCTTTCTTTCTTTCTTTCTTTCTTTCTTTCTTTCTTTCTTTCTTTTTTTTTTCTTACATGTCAGTTTGCTTTGTTTTTTTTTCTTTTTTTTTTCTTTCACCGCTCTTTTCTTTCTTTCTTTCTTTTCGTTCTTTCTTTCTTTCTTTCTTTCTTTCTTTTTTTACATGTCAGTTTGCTTTGTTTTTTTTCTTTCTTTTTTTCTTTTTTTTTCACCGCTCTTTTCTTTCTTTCTTTCTTTCTTTCTTTTTTCTTACATGTCAGTTTGCTTTGTTTTTCTTTCTTTTTTTCTTTTCTTTCACCGCTCTTTTCTTTCTTTCTTTCTTTCTTTCTTTCTTTTTCTTACATGTCGGTTTGCTTTGTTTTTTCTTTCTTTTTTTCTTTTCTTTCACCGCTCTTTCTTTCTTTCTTTCTTTCTTTCTTTCTTTCTTTCTTTTTCTTACATGTCGGTTTGCTTTGTTTTTTCTTTCTTTTCTTTCACCGCTCTTTTCTTTCTTTCTTTCTTTCTTTCTTTCTTTCTTTTTCTTGCATGTCGGTTTGCTTTGTTTTTTCTTTCTTTTCTTTCACCGCTCTTTTCTTTCTTTCTTTCTTTCTTTCTTTCTTTTTCTTACATGTCGGTTTGCTTTCTTTTTTTCTTTCTTTTCTCTCATTTCTTGCATTTTTCTTTCATTTCTTTCTCTGTTTTTCTTTCATATATATTTTCTCCGTGCTTCCAATTTTTTCTTCTTTTTTAACCACTTTCTTATTTCTCTCTCTTTTTCTTTAATACTCTTTCTCTGTTTTTCTTTCTTTCTTCTATCAGTTTTTCCTTCATTTCTTTTATTCTTTTCCTTTATTTCCTAGATTTTCTTTCTACCTTTTGTCTCTCTTTTTCTTTTCTTTTTCCTTTATATTTCTTTTTTTTTTCCGTTCTTTCTTTTCTGTTGTGTACAGTATGTATGAACACTAATGCGTATTTCCCAATCCTCATAAATACGTTGGATACGATTGTAAGAGGAGGTAATATGCTGCCTAAATAATCCACCCCTAGAAGTGGTTTACCTACCTCACGCCGCTGGCGAGCATTGTATTTTGTTTATGTTATAAAGATTACCAACCTCCGTTTCTGATTATTCCTCATTCAGTAATCCTTTCTAGTTTACAACAGATAGATACATAGGAATGTGTTTAATAGATAGATAGATAGATAGATAGATAGATAGATAGATAGATAGATAGTGTTATATACCGTACCTATGAACACTAATGGGTATGTCCCAATCCACATAAATACGCTGGACACTTTTTAAGTGGTGGTAATATGGTGTCTAAGTAGTCCAGCACTAGCAGTGGTTTACCTACTTCACGCCGCTGGCGAGTATTGTATTCTGTTGATGTTATAAACATTACCATTTCATTTCCAACCTCCGTTTCTGATTATTCCTCATTCAGTAACCCTTTTCTTGGTTACATGTTCTTACTTATTTTTCTTACGACATTTATTTTTCTTTCGATACTTTCACATGAAATCTCTTTCCTCCCTTCTTTCTTTCTTTCTTTCTTTCTTTCTTTCTTTCTTTATTTCTTTCTTTATTTATTTATTTATTTATTTATTGTCGTCCCGTCCCGTTTTTTTTCTTCATTCGTTCCTCAGACTGTATCTTCTTTTTCTTTCGTTCTTTCCTCTTTCAGTTCTCCTCCTCTGCCTTTCTCGCGTTAATGTTTACCTTCATTATTTCCCTATTCTACTCACATTTTTCTTTCTTCTTTCTCTTATCTCTTCCTCATTTCAATCTCTTTTCACTCTTCCTGTCGTTCTCTCATTCTCTCTCTCTCTCTCTCTTTGATTCTATCTCTTCTGTCATTTCATTTCTTGTTCTTAACGTTTTATATTTTTCTTTTCTTTCTTTTTCTTATTCTATTTATTTGTTTTTTTTTTTTTCTTATTCAAATTTTCTTCTCTTTTATTTCTCTCGTTGTCTTCTTTCTTTGCTTTTTCTATTTATATAACAATCGTGGTTTTTCTTTTTTTTTTCTTCTTTTCTTCTCTTTTTCTGCTTTTTCTCTTTTAATTTCTTTCTTTTTCATCTTTATCTTCTTTCGTTTCCTTCTTTCTCTATTCTTGCCTTTTCGCTTTTCTCTCTTACTTCTGTTTGTATTTATTTATTTTTTTTTTACAACTCTCTCTGCATTATATCTTTCGCTCTTTCTCTTTTCCCTTTTATTTCTTTTTTTCTTTTATTTCTATTCATTCTTCTTCCATTCCTGCTCCTTTACTCCCTATCTATCTATCTATCTATCTATCTATCTATCTATCTATCTATCTCTCATCCACTCGTTTTCCTTCATACTTTCTCTTTCAGATTTTTCATTTTCTCTCTTTTCTTCCCCTTCTTTGATACTCTTTCTTCTCTTTTTCTCTTCTTTCTTTCCTCTTATCTTTACGTTCTTTTTTAAATTTTTTCTATTCATTTTACTCTGATTTTTTTCTTTTTTCTTTTTCTTCTTTTTTGCACTTCCTTTTTTTTTCTTTTTATCCATTCTTCCTATTTTCTTTAATTATTTCTTTATTTTCGTCTTTTCTTGCTTCATTTTCGTTCTCTCGTTCATTTTTCTCTTTGATTATATTTTTTCATTCGAATTTTTTTTTTCTCTCTTCATTTTTCTTTCCGTTTTGGGCCTTTTTTTTTCTCTGTATAAACTGAAAATCTCATCAATTTTCTTCTTCTTCTTGTTGCTAATCCTTCTTCAAATTCGCCTTCGTTTCCTCTCCCTCCTAATCTTCCTCCGACTCCATCTACTCTGATCCCCCCTCACCTTCGTTACAACGTCCTAATTTTCCTCCTACTCCCCCTACTAACTTCCCTCTCCCTTCAGTATATATTCGTACTTCTCATCTTACTCCTCGTTTATATTCCCCCTTCGTTCGCTTCTCCTGATCCTTTTCGCCTTACTATTCTTTCTACTCGCCTTCCTTCCTTCCTTCCTTCCTTTCTTCTTCTTCTTCTTCTTCTTTTTATTTTTCTTCCTTTTCTTTTTCTTCTTTCTCGTCGTCTTGTTCGTCTTTTTCTTCTTTTTATTCTTTATCTTCTTTCTCTTCTTCCTCATCCTCTTCTTTTTCCTTCTCTTCTTCTACTTTTCTTCTTCTTCTTTCTTTCTCTTCTTCTTCTTCTTCTTCTTATTCTTCTACTTCTTTCAATGCTTCTTCTTTTTCTTATTCTTTCTCGTCGTTTTCTTCCTCTTTTTCTTCTTCTTCTTCTCCTTCTTCTTCTTCTTCTTTTTTTCTCTTCTTCTTCTTTCAATGCTTCTTCTTTTTCTTATTCTTTCTCGTCGTCTTCTTCCTCTTTTTCTTCTTCTTCTTCTTTCTCGTCGTCGTCTTCTTTTTTTTCTTCTTCTTCCTCTTCTACTTTCCCTTCTTCTTCCTCCTCCTCCTCCTCCTCTTCTACTTCTTCTTCTTTCTCTTCTTCTTCCCCCTCTTCTTTTTACTTCCCTTCTTCTTCTTTCAATTCTTCTTCTTTTTCTTATTCTTTCTCGTCGTCTTCTTCCTCTTTTTCTTCTTCTCCTTCTTCTTCTTCTTCTTTCTCGTCGTCGTCTTCTTTTTCTTCTTCTTCCTCTTCTACTTTCCCTTCTTCTTCCTCCTCTTCTTCTTCTTCTTCTTCTTCTCCCATTACTTCTACTCTTCTCATTCACTTTTTCCTTTCTCACAACATCCTACTTTTCCTCCTACTACTCACCCTACTAATCATCCTCTTCCTTCAACATCTCCTCATACTTCTCCTCTTCATTTTCTTCGTTTGCTTCTCCTGCTCGTATTCCCCTTTCCTATTCCATCTCCCCTCTCTTCCTTCTTCTTCTTCTCCTTCTTCTCTCGAAATTCCCCTTCCTTTCCTCCTCCTCATCTTAATATTCCTATTCCTTCTACTCTTCTGTTGCAACGTCCTAATTTTCCTTCTTCTATTCACCCTACTAATCGCCCTCACCCTTCAGCATCTCCTCATACTTCCCCCTCCTCTTCTTTTCTCTTCTTTTGCTTCACTTACGCCTCCTCCTCCTCCCTCCTCCTAATTCTTGTTTTTATGCTTAAATGACACACTCCAATCATCGATAAAAAATGAATCTATTTTCTTAAGTTTTACACCCTTTCGTTATTCTTTGGGAAATGCTAAAACTAAGAATAATCAAATTGAAAACATCCCAGTGTCACCACCTACTGCACTTCATATCGATGTTAATCGACTATTTTCTTTCTTTTTCTTTCTTTCTTTCTTTCTTTCTTTTTTTTCTTTCTTTCTTTCTTTCTTCCTCTTCCTTGTTGATTCCTTTTTCCTGTTTTTCTCTCCTTTTCTTTCATCGTTGCTTTGCTCTATTCCTCCTATCCTGTCACCTTAACATATAACGTTTCCTCCAAATTCTATAACTCCGCCTTCATATTATTATTATTATTATTATTATTTATTTATTTATTTATTTATGTATTAATACCTGTAGTAGTAGTAGTAGTAGGAACTGTAGTAGTAGGAGTAATAGTGCTAATGCAGTTATTTGTCGCCATTCTTTCTTTCTCCCTTGTGTTAGCATTTACACACGATTTCTTATTCTCTTATTCTCCGCCTCATATGTTTGGCTATTATGTTTCTCAGCCAAGCGCATGTCCCCCCCACCCTCTCCTTCCTTCTGCAACTTCTTTTGGGAATCCACAAATTTTCCTATTTTTCTTATGCGCTATTAACATAATTGGATTTCCTTACCGTTTTTTTTCCCTGTAAATTTGTCTTTAATGAAAACATACACACACGCGCGATGGCGCGCGCACACACACACACACACACACACACACACACACACACACACACACATATATATATATATATATATATATATATATATATATATAAATGTAATGTAGGCGCGTGGCCGAGGGGAACGTTAGAACGTTCGCTTTCTGACCATGAGGCCAGGGTTCGAATCTCACTATGGTCGATTTGTCAGAAAGGAGACTTCTTAATGCTGTCGGAATGGATCGAGGTCGATCCAAGCGTGCGGCACCTCTGGAAAGTGCCGGAAAACCATACCACGGGTTGACCCAAGCCTTGTGAGCGAAACGTGATAGCTGTGCTAGCACAAAGCCACATGTTCATCGTGGCCGAGGGCTTGAGCGTGCTGGTCGGGTTCAAATTGTTGATCACGCTAGATAACACGCTCTCTCCCCGAAACTGTAACTAAGGTCTGCTCAGCATAGTTGCAGTACAAACCACAGGTGGGCTCAGTGGGTTTTCAACAAACAAAAAATGTGCCTGAGCTAGAGTCTGCTATAGGGATTGGCTAGCTGCCCTAGTAGACGGGTATCCTCGAATACGGGTGGCCAGCTATATATATATATATATATATATATATATATATATATATATATATATATATATATATGTGTGTGTGTGTGTGTGTGTGTGTGTGTGTGTGTGTGTGTGTCTCAGTGTGTGTGTGTCAGTGTGCGTGTGTGTGTTGATAGATATAAAACGTTTAGATCTCTCCCGTTATGCATTTCGAGATTCTTGATAAAGTCCAAAGAAGAATCTGCAATGTTATTGGTCGTAATCTGTCATCTCGGCTTCAGTCACTTTCCCGCCACAGTAATGCAGCTCCGCTGTACCTTTTATGGTAATTATTTTGATGAAATTAGTTCTATAGTACTAAACTACATTTCTGTTTAGATTAAACACGGTTTTGTCGATAGAAAAAAGAATTAATTTCATTTTCTGGGGTACGCTAAAGGAGAAGGTGTACTCAATGAAAATCACAGATGCAACACACTTCTTTGAACGCATAAACGGTGAAAGTGCTAAAATTGACGGCAATGTGGAGTTATTGCATCGAACCCTTCTTCGAACGTATCAATCTTGGCATCACAAATGATGGAAATCATACTGAAGATATTTTGTTAATATTCCAGTTAAATAAAATGTTGATAAAATTTTCATTTCTTGAAAATATATATTTTAACCTATGTGTCCAGACTTTAACGATAACCTATAGATTGCCAACAAGTTCTCATAATTTACCGTTGAATTAGCGAACCGTAAGTTCTATGCTAACAGTTTCTTTTCTCGCACTTCTCGCCTATGGAACTCTCCTTCTAGCTTCTTGCTTCCCAGACAACTTTCATCTCCAAAAAGGTAAATGCAATGTCAATCGTTATCTACTGTCTTCTTGATTCCTTTTTCTTTTCTTTTTCTCTCTCCCTAATAATAGTTTTCGTCTTTCTTTCCCACTCACAATCCCTTTGTGCCTTAGTTGCTTTATTGCCTTGCTTCGGGTAAAATGATTTTTTAAAAATATAGAAATCAACCCTTCAAGATGTCTGACAGTTATCCGCTTTCAGCGATGAACAGGCCATGAGCTGATGGTAGGTTTAGGCTTAATACAACCCGTCACCCAGCAACGTTGATTTTTATGCCCTCACAGTTTTTTATCTACAAAAGCTCCTACGGAATATTGACCACATTTTCATCATAAATATACCAAGTTTTAAAAAATATATATCTATATGTGTGTGTGCATATATATATATATATATATATATATATATATATATATAAATTCTAGTCGGAAACACTAACATTATATATAGATCGCATTACCGGAAACATCTCGCTATAAGATATGTTCTATGTATTAAATATCTCTCTCCAACAATCAACCTGTTTCGTACATATATTAGGAAATTGTGTACATTTATTAAAAATTGAAACCAAGTTTTCATAAAATTAATTATGATTACTGCACAAAAGCTTTAAAATGTTTACATGTTTTAAAATAGCTAAGTTTTAACTAGCAACGTTGAATAGATTTTTTGAAAAAAATAGAGATCTCATGACTTAGTTAAAATCCTTGACGCTATACGTGTTTGTTTACATCATATATTTAAAAAGCGTACAGTTCATAAGTTTAGTGCTTTTCCTTCACTCATAAAAAAATTAGTTTTCAGATGAACACAACAAATTTGCCTTATAAAATTGCTGAGCACAACAAATTTTTCTTAGCAAAAACAAGACCCTGGTTACGATATTCTGCTAATGTCGATGTACTCGGAATAAAGGGAATATGCATTAGTATGGTCTACTTTATTCCTTCTTTAATAAGGATATTAAAAAAACTTGTCCGTAATTCGATAATACACACACACAATATATATATATATATATATATATATATATATATATATATATATATATATATAATAAATATAAAATATATATATACATACATACATACATACATACATACATACATATACATATAAAAGTTTCCAAGAGGATAGAATCCAGGTAGAACTCAATGTCCAGGACAGAGTAAAAATATAATAAAAAGGCTTAACGACTAATATTACATGGTTATAATTTATTATATTGGAATCGTAATTACGATCCAATTCATCAGACCTACAAATTCAAAAAGAAATCAGAAAAAATAACTTTTTTAATTTAATTTAGGTCAGCGATTCAGTAATGAATAATGCATCGGAAAATAACTCATATTTATCTGTATCTCACTCATTCAAACCCTCTTTTAACCCCTCTCTTTAAAACTTTTCTCTGTTAAATTTTAATCCCCACCTTCACTTTTAGGCCCTCCTGTTCTTCTTTCGTCTGTTACACCCTCTCTATAGCTTTCATTTACCTCTCACATTCGTCCCCCACTCTCATTCATACATACACTCTTGCTAAATTTTATTTTTTATTCCCGGAGTTATTTCTTCTGATTTCGTTTTGAATTTTTGAGGTCTGATGAATTGGTTCATAAGCCTACTTATTAAAGTAACAGTAAGAGATAGATCAAGTATCGACCATCATAAAGACTGAAAAATAAAATTGACAAAGATTATTGTTTAAGCTTGACGGACACGCATATCTTAGTTTTTTTTTTGTTTTTTTGTTGTTTTTTTTACGAATTGGTCAAACCCAAACTCAAACAAAAACATTGTTTTCAATCATTATAAGTCTATCGATTGAATAGAATTTTAAAGATTATTGTTTAAGGTTGACGGACACGCATGTCTTAATTAGTTTTTATTTGTTTTTTTTTTACGAATTGGTCAAACCCAAACTCAAACAAAAACATTGTTTTCATTCGTTATGAGTCTATCGATTGAATAGAATGTTATTATAAACAATTGTCTTGTAAATGGAATTTTTAAAGCATTCTGAATGTAAAAATAAAGAAAAAAGTGTGCAAGACAATAAGAAACACTGCCCAAAAAAAGTGAAGTTTTGTTGAAATCGGTTGATAAATTTAGGAAATCCGATCCTATATATAAACGAACACATACACACACAAACAACCTGCGTTTTATAATAAGTATAACTCGATATGAGTTGTCTCCCTTTCTGGCGACAGAATCGTGTTTTATTGTGTTTTCTAATTGATTTCGTGCAAAAACAATTGTATTTTTTCCAATTTTTGGCGCTGTCAGAAACACCGTAAGGTAATTTTACGTAGTCCTGTGAAGTTTCGTTGAAATCGGTTGAAAAATGTAGGAAATCCGATCCAATATATAAACGTACAGACACACACACACAATCTGCGTTTTATAATAAGTAAGATTATGGAATTTAACATCCAATAACAATTATAACAAATAACAAAGTGTTTACTTAAACATGGAAGACATGCGCTTAGTGTCCTTAGCTTTTTTTTTTTGATAAATAAACTATTTTTAAAATATAAAAATTCATAAATTACTCTTCTGTTTACTTGAGGCGTAGCTGCGTACCTTGCAGGACGTATTAGTGCGTCCGGACGTACAGGTTTGAGTGACGCCGTTCAACAATGACATATGGCCAAGCATTTTCATGAAGCAATATTGGATATCGCTAATTAACCAGTGCTGGTTGCATTTTGCTTAACTGAATGCGTATTTCATCCAGTTGCCAGCTGTAAATTTCGGCAGCGATTCTCTGATGATATTCCAAAAAGAATTAATGAATAATGCCAATGGCGGATTACCAGAGAGTCACCGTAATTTTCTGTTGATGCGATTTCGGTTTTGGGAAGTGTTTGCTTTTATCATGATTAAGACATTGAACCGATCATTTACATATGGGATTCATTTCTCATCACAAGTCACAATTCAGTAAAGAAATAGATCATTCGAATTTCGCTGATACCACCACCCCCGCAATATTCGCTCAAGGCTGGCCGGAGTTTGAAAAATTTGAACTTATGCAAAAAAGTAAACATATCTCTTCTTTGTTCAGGTCAAAGATGAAGGGGTATGTAATGTTAGAAGTTCAACTATTATAATAGTATAATAGAATACAATTAAATTGTTTATTCTAAAATCGGTCATTATCTATCTATCTATCTATCTATCTATCTATCTGAAGATGTTTAATATCTATCTATCTATCTATCTGAAGAGGTTTAATATCTATCTAAGAATGTTTAATATCTATTTATCTATCTATCTATTTATCTAAACATGTTTATTATCTGTTTGAGGATATTTAATATATATATATATATATATATATATATATATATATATATATATCTGAACAGGTTTAATATCTATCTAAGAATGTTTAATATCTATCTATCTATCGATCTATCTATCTATTTATCTATCTGAACAGGTTTAATATCTGTTAGGATGTTTAATTATCTATCTATCTATCTATCTATCTATCTGAACAGGTTTAACATATATAAGGATGTTTAATATCTATCTATCTATCTATCTATCTATCTATCTGAACAAGTTTAATATCTTTGAGGATATTTAATATCTATCTATCGATCTATCTATCTATTTATCTATTTGAACAGGTTTAATATGTGTCTCAGGATGTTTTAATATCTATCTATCTATCTATCTATCTATATATATATATATATATATATATATATATATATATATATATATATATATATCTTAACGGGTTTAATATCTATCTATCTATCTATCTATCTATCTATATAAGCCTTTTCTTTAATTATATATATATATATATATATATATATATAAATACAAATATATAAATTATATTAAATATATATATATATATATATATATATATATATATATATATTATTTTAAATCATATATTTGGCTCCAAAGATCATCTCGCAAATTTGACTCCAAAGATTATTGGCGTCTCTGCAAGAGCGTATTGAACAATTGCAAACCCTCTATACCTCCTTTATTCAACCAGTTCGAAGTCCTGACCTCCTCTACCGACAAGGCTGAATGCTTTGCTCGGAAATTTTCATTCAACTCGACGCTCGACTCTTCCGGTGTACCCATACCCGACTTCCCTCTTAAAACTGAGGCCATATTGAGTGTGTTAAACATAACCCCATCTTTGCTACTGGGCGTTATCTCCAATTTAGACCCCAACAAGGCTACTGGTGGAGACGGGATACCAGCCATTGTCTTGAAGAAATGCGCGCCGGAACTGGCGCCCGCCCTTTCTAAACTATAGAACTACTGCCCCAAGAAATCTTGTTTTCCTGACTGCTAGAAGTCTTCTTCGATCGTTCCTGTTTTCAAGAACTCCGGCGACCCCTCTGACCCTTCCAACTACCGTCCTATCAGTCTCCTTCCCCTCTTCGGCAAAGTCTTCGAAGCCCTAATCAATATCGGGGTAGTTAACCACCTCACATCCCATAATCTGCTTTCAGACAAGCAATATGGTTTCCGCTTTGCCCGATCGACAGCCGATGTGCTCACAGCCATCACTGAAACAGTCTACCGAGCTCTTCAAAATAATGGGGAAGCCCGAGCTGTGGCACTAGACATCTCCAAAGCATTTGATAGGGTTTGGCATGCTGACCTTCTTCGCAAGCCCCAGGGTTATGGCATTACGGGACGATTATATAACCTAATACGATCATTCCTGTCAAACCGTGAATTGAAGGTCGTTCTCAACGGATTCTCATCCAGTTCCTATCCCACGAACTCAGGTGTTCCTCAAGGCTTCATCCTAGGCCCCACTCTATTCCTTACCTACATAAATGACCTTCCTGACGCCATAACTTCCCAAGTTGGCATCTACGCGGATGATACCACAATTTATTCCTGCCTCAAAAACAAATCTAGTCTCGCTGACAAAACTCATCTGGCCGTGCGTCTCGAAAAGGACTTCCAATCGATTGTGAACTGGGGCATGAATTGGCTGGTCAACTTCAACGCTTCTAAGACAAAACTGCTCTCTATTAATCACCACAGAGAGCCTTCCCTTCCCTCCATTAGAATGTCTGACGCTCAACTTCTCGAGAGCAACTCTCTGCGGCTTCTCGGTCTCACGTTGACTGTTGACCTGAGATGGAATAAATACATTGAGTCAATTGCTTCGTCCACCGCAAGGAAAGTTGGCTCCCTGAGCCGCGCCAGGAAGTTTTTCTCCCCGGAGTCGATCCTCCAGATCTACAAATCCACAATTCGCCATGGCATGGAGTATTGCTGCCATATATGGTCTGGCGCCCCTTCTGTTTGCCTTGGGGTTCTTGATAGGCTCCAGAGGCGGATATGCAATGTAGTTGGCCCTGCCCTGGCGTCTCGTCTACAGTCACTTTCTCACAGACGCGCCCATCGCCTCCCCTGTCTGTTCTACAAATACTTTCATGAAAATTGCTCCGAGGAGCTGCATTCGCTGGTTCCCAGACGTCATGCGTTCCAGCGCCTTACGAGGCTGGCATCCCGCTCTCACCCCTTCACTGTCGAAACTCCTAAATGTAGCCGTCTCTTCTACTCTAATAGTTTCATGTCTCGCACCTCTCGCCTGTGGAACTCCCTTCCCTTCTCCTGTTTCCCTGTGAGCTATAATCTCCAGCTATTCAAGTGTAATGTCAATCGTCATCTCCAGTTGCCTTGATCTATCCACTACCCTCATCCTTTCTTCTATCACTTCTATCTGATCTTGCTCTAAATTTTCTGTAACCCCTTGCGTCCTAGTGGCTTCCCGCCTTGCTTGGGGTGAAATGAAATGCTTAAATATATATATATATATATATATATATATATATATATATATATATATAGATAGATAGATAGATATTCGGTATTCTTATTATTTTTCTTAATATAAACTAATTAAAACTTATTGCTAATCTTATATTATTTCCTAGCATATTTTTTGGTAATTTTTAAAAAGAAAAATGATTTTTTTTTCTTTCATAACTATTATTTTTTAAATTAAATTTAAAGTAAATTTTTAAGTTATTTTTTTAACTTGTTTTTTTTTTTAATTTTCCATGCCATTATTTAATTTTTCTTTCTAATATTTTCATCACTCCTACTCCAGCTCAAGGTTGTATTAACCATTTCAATTGAAGCCAGGCAATATCTGCGTTACCCACTTCTCTTTTGGAGTTGTTTGGTTAACTTAATATATGTTTTCAAAGGCGGCTACTTTTTTTTATTTCTTTTCTTCTTTTTTCTTTTTTAATGCTTAATTTTTAGATTTTTGACTTGGTATCGACACACCATTTGAGTCGAAAAATGCTAACGTTTTAACGTTAGTTGAAATAAGGCACTAAAGTCCCTAAGACACAAGTGCGTTAGACAACATGAGAAAAAAAAAACTCTTAAGGAAAGAGAACTATAAAAGAACAGGAATTAAGAAGACATTAGATAACGATTGGCATTGCATTTAAATTTTTTAGATCAAAGTTGACTGGAAAGCAAGAAGGCAGAAGACATTTCCACAAGCGAGAAGGGCGACAGAAGAAACTGTTAGCATAGAACTTACGGCTATATCCAGCTATTTCAACTGTAAAACGATGAGATCATGTCGCCATTCTAGCACTGCGATTAGATTCATAAAGTCTAGGCACCATAGAGGAAAATTCATCAGAACAATTACCATGAAAATATTTATAGAAAAAGCACAGGAAAGCTATGTTACGGCAGTGACCAATGCCGAGATGCCAGGGCAGAACCAATAATACTGCAGATTCCTTGAATTTTATCAAGAATCTCTAAATACATAGCAGGGGCTCCAGGCCAGCTGTGACAGCAATATACAAAGGAAGGGGGAATGGTAGACTTATAAAGATAGACATACGTACATATATGACCAGATAGAGAGAGGACATGATAAAGTTATACACCAAATGTCACTTTCCCAAAACAGAACACCCTCCTGGTGCGTTGAGTCCTTGAGTGAGTGGAATTGTCAACCTTCTTTTTTTTTTTTTTCCGTGTGCCGAGACAGCAGCATGGAACGCCTTTGTCGTGCGTCAGATATCCGCCATGTTGTATATTGAAAATGTCTTACAACGGGCGGTGTGCCAATAGATGGAGCCTGTGGGCTACGTAAGTGCCAGCGATTTCCGGTTGCTTCCTGTCGTCGTATTTACCCACAATGCGGCGATGTCCTTTTTAACCACACTGTGATTATTTAGCTTGTCGTTTCTTTTCGCCACCGGTCAGCTTCCGGTTTAATTCCGAGTTTTCAATAGCCCCGGCACCGATAACAGAAAAAAAGAAAAATAGATGAAGCCTCACTCTTTTCAAAAATGTTAATAGGTGTGTTAGACAACAATTTAAAAAAAAAAAAAAAGAAAGAAAATAAATATCCCTTTTAGTCACAAAAACATCTTTTGAATGGTCTCTTTACCTTTGTAAACCGTGTTTAAAAAGTGCTTACCACAGACAATTGTCTGTGAGCGGAGGTGATTTACGTTGATATAGATTTACAATTGCTGGCCCGGACAGTATTTTTTTCTTCTTTCTGGTTTGATAGAATCCAAGGCAGATTTTTCTACGCCGGTACAAAAAGAGGCCATTTTGTTTCCTTTGAAAAGATTTATTTAAACCTACACACTGTCAGAACAGAAAAAAAACAGTGTTATGAATAATCAAAAGTGGTCTCCACTTCTTTTGCTAATCTCCACTTTGAGAGAACCCTTTCTATTTACTGGGACTATAAAAGGACACTGTACGCAAACCTTGTCTTCTAAGTTGAATAAAGCTTTCGTAAAGCCTACACCTGCGTACTGTTGTCATTACACAGAGCCCATTTTTTTTACTTGTGTAAATAATCATGACCTTGCAGATACTTCCCTGTCACATGTTGGTGGGTATTAAAGGGTATGACTAAATTAGACGAGCTCTGACGGGCTTGGACAAGCTATGACTAGCCAGGATCAGCTATGATTAGCTTAAGCCAGCTCTGACGGGCTTGGACAAGCTATGACTGTCCAGGATCAGCTATGATTAGCTTAAGCCAGCTCTGACGGGCTTGGACAAGCTATGACTGGCCAGGATCAGCTATGATTAGCTTAAGCCAGCTCTGACGGGCTTGGACAAGCTATGACTGGCCAGGATCAGCTATGATTAGCTTAAGCCAGCTCTGACGGGCTTGGACAAGCTATGACTGGCCGGGATCAGCTATGATTAGCTTAAGCCAGCTCTGACGGGCTTAGACAAGCTATGACTAGCCAGGATCAGCTATGATTATCTTAAACCAGCTCTGACGGGCTTGGACAAGCTATGTCTGTCCAGGATCAGCTATGATTAGCTTAAGCCAGCTCTGACGGGCTTGCACAAGCTATGACTGGCCAGGATCAGCTATGATTAGCTTAAGCCAGCTCTGACGGGCTTGGACAAGCTATGACTGTCCAGGATCAGCTATGATTAGCTTACGCCAGCTCTGACGGGCTTGGACAAGCTATGACTAGCCAGAATAAGCTATGACTAGTTTAGACCATCTCTGACCAGATTGGACAAGCTATGTCGAGCTTAGACTAGCTTTG